CTGCCACGCCATGTGGGTCACCTCTGGGGCAGGCGGGGATCGAACTCATGCGGAAGTGGCTTTAGATTCTCAGGGCTGTGCTTTAACCCGTTGCGCCACCAGGGAGGGCCCCTCATATTAATTTTTATTTACTAAAAATTACATGTATAAAAATGTACAAAATGATGTAAAAATAAAGTATTATATTATTAAAAAATTAAAAAAAGTTACATGTATAAAATTGAGAAAATTAAGTAGTTCTGCAAGGTTTATATTGCAAAACAGTAGTGGCTCTTTGCATCCCAGTTCTTACTCTCTGTGGACAAATCACTTTTGGCTATATTTACCTCCATATTTCTAAATTATAGGTTCTACAGCTCTCTATTTATTTTTAAAATAATACAATAGTTTATTTTTACATCATTTTGTGCATTTTTCCATCTTGGGCTTCCCATCACCAAATCACCCGTGTGTCATCCCACAGTCCAGTGCATTTCCCTCTCCCGACTCCATTCCCCTCTCCACCCCCATAAATTGTCTCTGGTATATAACTGTTACTATTTTCTCGCTCTGTTTATTTTAAGTTATAGTTTTCACTCTGCTGTGTCCTGTGGTGTCCTACTGTGAAGGTGATAATTTCACTTACAACATTCCTTTATATACCGTCTCTCCAGTATATTTCAGTCATTCTTTAGTATTTATATTTTTATGACTAAAGACTCACAGTTGAACTCATCTACAACTTATTTTCTCAGAGTTAATATTTTTGTGTTTGATTCACCTAATTCTAATACTACAATGAAGGTACAAACTTCTCCTAGTATACTTTAAAATACAGGATATTCTTGGGGGGAGGGAAATGCACGGGATTATGGTGATGGCACACGGGTGACTTGGTGATGGGAAACCCGCAGGGATTACAATTGAGATGGGAAAAAAAATGTACAAAATGATGTGAAAATAAACTTTTGTAATTTAAAAAAAAAAAATACAGTATATTCTGTTTTCCATTTTCCCCAGACCACTTTCTCTCCCCGTCCTCAGAAACACTTTTCAAAGAGCCTGTTTGGTGAAATACTTTTGACCAACAGTGAGCGAGTATGCTAGTGACGCCAGGCTTGGGTGCTGTTGGGGATTATTTTGTTTTAATGGTTTTGGTAGATAGAAAATGGGATACTAGAAGGGTTTTAATTTGTACTTTTTGTTGATGTCTTTTGCTAGCCCCCATCAGCACTTGTTAGTTATGCCTGCCTACAAATGACTGGTTCTGTTTTGAGACTTGGTGTTCCTTTTTTTTTCACCATGCAGTTTATTAATCAGTTACTTGGAGTTGTTCCTTTGTCAACACCAGCAGAGGATAAGCTGGCACTGCCTGCTGACATCAGAGCTCTGCAGCAGCATTTGTGTGTGGTACAGCTGACGAGGTTACTTGGCTTGTACCACACAATGGATAAAAAGCAGAAATTGACTGTGGTCAGAGAATTGATGTTAAGGTATCAACATGGACTGGAATTTGGTGAGTATCTTTTATTACTTGAAGTATCCTGTTTTCATGAATTTGACAAAGGAAATAATCTTGTCAAATGGGAAGACTATCCAAGTAATGACATGTACAGCTTTTCTTTTTTTTAAAGATTTGTTTATTTATACATACAAGAGCTGGGGTATATAAGCCAGAGGTGTGGGATTCATCAGAGATAGATTGGGGAGCAGAACAGAAGAATTGACTAAAATATAAGTGCTGAGGGAAGCAGTGGGCAAGACAGGAGAGAACTGTTGCACCATGTGGATTAGCTCCCTGGCCAGGGTTTGAACTCGTGCTGCAGTGGCTTCTGATAGCTTTATAGTGCTAAGACTTACCCCTTGTGCCACCAGGGAGCCCCCCTATATAGCCTTTCTGAAGCTTGGAGCTTAAAAAATTAAGTTGGCTTCCAGATGTCTTTGTTCTTCCTAATCTGCTGAACGCACGCTTTGTCACCTTGGGCCTCATGTGTTAACGTAGTTTATGATAGTTGTCATATTTTCTACTTACAGGGCTTAATGTTTTGAAATTATAGACTTTGTAAATGAACCAAAGGAATATTATAAACTGCAAGAAAAATACTTAATTTTAAATTAGATCTTCAGGTTGCTTGATAGATTTGCTAAAAAATTATCTGACTAGATGATGTCAGCATTTCTCTAACTATATTGTAAAAATCAGGTGAAGTAAGGAGCATGATATTTCTTTATCATGGCCATTGACTTCAGTTCTTATTTGCTGAAAGCCTTACAAATTTGCCACCCTCCTTTGGGGACCCTTACTCTATCACCTTCTTTATGTTCCAACTGGATGTGCATCTTTCTTTGAATTCTTTGCTTCATGGCTTATATTTTTCTTCTGGTGTTTACTCCATTGTTTTCTTTTCCTCTTTCCTTTCTATTTTTTCTGCTTTAAAAAAACTTCTTTGAATAATTGTTAAAATAGAATCTTTTTCCTCCCCATAGGGAAGTCCTGTTTGAAAACTGAATTGCAATTCTCAGACTATTACTGTCTCCTTGCTGTCCATGTGCTTATTGATATATGGAGGGAAACAGGTAAGGAACAGTGATTTCAGTTGAACTTGTACTCTTTGCTTTTACTGGTTATTGTTATAAATTCACAATATATAATGTAAGATTTTGATTTATGCTTTAAGTTTTTCTTTCCCAGGAAGCTTCTGGGAAAGTCTCCAGTTATACCCCTCTTTGTAATGATGGTAATCTTAAATCCATATATCTCTGTTCTGTGTGGGTAATAACCTATTACAGTGTAATTAAAATAGAAGAGTAAATGATTCTGAAATAGATGTATAGGTTAAACAGGGTAGTTCCTTTACTAACTTAAAAATGTTACACAGGATAATGCACTCTTTGGAATACAGTTCTGAGGAACCCACTTACAACAAAACATGAAATGTAGTAATGGAAGCACTGTGAATTACTAAGCAGGAAAAGGGTGATTCAGTAAATGGTACTGAGATTTCCTTTTCTTCAGGCTTCACTTGCAATTTTCTTATTAGCAGTTTTTTTTGGAAAATCATTTGCATAATATTCAAGAGATTAAATTACAGAATAAACAAAGGGCAGGGGAAACTATTGCATGATAGAACAACACTGCCTCATGGGTCATTTCACAGAGGATTCATTTCCACATCGACCTCATGCTTAGAATCTTTCGGAAGTGCCCTATTATCCTGAGGATAAAGGTCACTCTGTTTAGGACAACTTATGTGATGGTCTTCATTATCTCTGCCTGTATCTCCACAGTTTTATCTATTTATAGCCTTGGCTCTACATTCTTTTTTTTAAAGATTTGTTTATTTATGCATACAAGAACTGGGGCATAATGCAGAGGTATGGGAGGTGAGAGGCTTCACCAGAGATAGAGTAGGGAACAGAACAGGTGGATCTACTAAAAACACACTGCTGAGGGAGCAGCGGGTGAGACAGGAGAGGTCTGCTGTGCCGTGTGGGTCAGCTCCCTGCCAAGATCCAACTCTGAGCAGCAGTGGCTGTGGGTAGCTTCAGAGTGCTGCGCTTTAACCCATTGCAGCACCAGAGAGGGCCCTTCTTCTTTCTTTTTTTCTACTATCACTGAGTGTCATGTTGCTTCTCTTTGAGATAATTTTTTTTCCCATTTGAAATCTTCCATTGAATGGTGCTGCTAGGACTTCACTGAATACGATACAGTTATTGAAAATCAACATCATGAAATAAATTACTTCCTTCATTTAACTTTTACTCAGTGTCTTTGATAAGTCTGTCTGACCTCATCCCTTTTTCCCCCTAAATATTTATTTTACTTATTTATGCATACAAGAACTGGATGTAGGCCGGACTTGTGAGGGATGAGAAGATTCACTGGAGACGGCGTGTAGAACAGAACAGGCAGATCTACTGAAATACACTGCTGAGGGGAGCAGTGGATGAGACAGGAGAGGTCCCTGCCCTGGGATCAAACTCATGTGGCAGTGACCGCTGATAGCTTGATGGTGTGGAGACTTTAACTCCTGAGCCACCAGGGAGGCCCTGATTTCCCTCCCTTTTTAACTATATATTTTATGCCTTTTCTGAACTTTGTAGTATATTAACATATATACCTATATGATATTACGTGTTTACTGTATTGTATCAGGAAGGGGGATGGCATCCTTTTTTGTCAAAATGTTTATTATCTCATTTTTTTGTAGCTGCAGATTAATGAGGTCGTATAGGATTGTAAAAGTCAACTTCATGTAAAGCCATGATGTCAAATCTTAATTTAAAAATCATAATGAAAATCATAATAATTTGACCCCTTAGATAGCTTTTCATACTTATCCCCACCATCTGTTCTCTTTCATCGTGACTGACTTTATTACTGTCTTTGTTTTGTTTTGTTTTTATTGTGTTAACATTGGTTTACAAAGCTGTTCTCGATTTAGAGGTATGGGCACCCGTCCCTCGGGGTGTGAGCGCATCGTCTCCAGCATCAGGGCGCCGCTAGCCCTCCATCTTAGTCGGTGGTGCCCGCTCCCCATTTGCAAACCTCCTTGCAGGGGCCGCCTCCTGTCATCCCTCAATCTACAGTTAGATTTCAGGGTTTGTTCCTCTGTACTCCACACGTAAGTGACACCATTCAGTATTTGTCTTTATACTTCGGGCTTATTTCACTTTAGCCTAGTCCACTTTAGTTCCATCCATATTGTTGCAAATGGCAAGTTTCTTCCTTTACAGTTGAGTAGTATTCCATTGTGTAGAGAAAGCACATCTCTGTAAGCACTCATCTATGCTTGTGTCGTTAGTGCGACTCTAGAACTTGGCTACATATGGTAGATCTATTTTTAATATTTTGAGGAACCTCCATACTGTTTCCTTTGGGATTGGAGCAGTCTGCATTCCCTCCAACAGGGTCTGAGCGTTTATTTTCCCCCATATCCTTGCCTTCACTTGTTGTTTCTAGTCATTTTGATATGGACCATTGTCAAAGGTTGCTTTTGCTTTTGATTTTCATGACAAGGGACAGTGAGTACCTTTTCATGCGCCTGTTGGCCAATTATGTCTTTGGAGAAGTGCCTGGTTAGCTCTTCTTCCTATTTTTTTGATTGGGTTATTCACTTTTTGTTGACTTGTATGAATTATTTGTAGATCTTATATATCAGCTTCTTGTGAATGCATGGTGTATAAATGTTTTCTTGCTGTAGTGATAGTTTCTTTTGCTGTGCAGAAGCTTTTTTGTTTGATGTAGTCCCAGTTTATGTTCTCTTTTGCTTCTCTTGCTATTAGAGTCCAATCCACAAAGATAACACTAAAAACTGTCATGTAGTGTTTTTACTTGGTTTTTATCTTTATATTTTACCGTTTTAGGGCTTATGTCCAAGTCTTAATTCATTTTGAGTTAATGTTTGTGTGTGGTGTGAGTCATCTAGTTTCTTTCTCATGTGGCTATCCAATTTCTCCAACACTACTTGTTGAAACTTTCTTTTCTTTATTGTCTTACCTCCTTTATTGTAGATTAGTTGTCCTTATCAGTGTGGGTTTATTTCTGGGCTCTCAGGTCTATTCATTTGGTCTGTGTATCTGTTTTTGTTCCAGTACCCTACTGTTTCGTTTACTGTAATTTCTACTATAGTTTGAAGTCTGGGCATGTGAATACTCACCATTCTTTTTGTCAGGATTGCTTTGGTTATTTGGAGTCTTGTGGTTTGATATGACTTACAATATTTCTTTTATTTATTTGAAGAATGCCATTGAAACTTTGATAGGGATTGCATTGAATCTATATATTGTTTTGGGTAATATAGCTATTCTAATAATGTCAATTTGTCTAATCCACAGCAGGAATATCTTTGCATTGCTTTGTGTGTTCCTGCTGTTTGTATGTGTTCTATATTTTTACCAGCACACAGCAAGTTTATTAAAAAAAAGAGAACAGGAAGGAGAGCAGCCTGCCTAGATGTAGGTGGTCAGCTTTAAAAGGCAAGGGCTGCAGTTTTTTTTTTTTTAAACAGGGTCTTGTACTTTTCATTATACAGGTCCTTCACCTTGTTTGTTAAGTTTAATTATTTAATTATTTTTTATGCAATTCGAAATGGAATTGTTTTCTTGATTTCTTTCTCCTAGTTCATTGTTTGTATATAGGAATGCAACTGGTTTTTGTAAATTGATTTTCTAGCCTACCACATTGCTGTATTGGTGTTTCAGTTGATTTTTTAATGGTGTTCTTAGGCTTTTCTATGTCTATTACATCATCTGTAAATAGCTGAACTTTGCGTTCTTTCTCAATTTGCATTTCTTTTAACTAAGTCTATATATATATATATATTTTTTTTTTTGTGGTGTCTTGTTCTGAATTTTGTATCATGGTAACGTTGACCTCAGAAAACATGTTTACCTATATTCCCTCCTCTTTCTCAATTATTTTAAAAAGTTTGAGAAGAATAGATACTAGTATGCCTTTGAAGGATTGGTAGAGCTTACTAGTGAAACCTCTGGTCCTGAGCATTTTGTTTTTTGGGAGACTTGATCACTTTCAATTTCTTTGCTTGTCATTGTTGTTTTAGGTTTTCTGTTTCTTCCTGATTCAGGCTTACATGGTTGTATATTTCTAAGAATTTGCCCATCTTTTCTAAGTTACTCATTTTTATGATCCTCTGAATTTCTGAGATGTCTGTTGTAACTTTTTTATTTCTGCTTCTTGAGTCTTCTCCTTTTTTTCCTTGGTGACTTTAGAGCTGTGTCTATTTTATTTTTTCAAAAAACCAGGATTTGATTTCATTAATTTTTTGAGCTGTCTTTTTGATAATTTATTTTATTTTTGTTTTAGTTTTTATTATTTCCTTCCTTGTACTGGATTTTAATTTTCTGGTTCTTCATGAAGAGATTTTTTTTTTTTGAACTTTTGCCATCCTTTATTTGATGAAACATGCTGGGAATAAATAGTCTATTTTACAATAGACATTTTAATATATTCATATTTCATAAAACTCAGATTTTGTATATACATCATTATATTTTTGTCAGAAAAGGAACAATGATTTGCATAAAGCTCCAAAATAGGAATGTTTTTCTATTGAGAGTTTTAAATAATGCATTTAAAATGTAGCTTTCCTTTTGCAGAGCTCAAATGGCAGTACACATAAGCATTATTTTATAATATCATTTATACAGTTCATTTCCTCACGAAGAGATGTTTTCCATAGGGTTGATTTTGCATTTTTGTTTGCAGTCCCACTTTTTGTATTTATCTTTTTTACTTCCTTTAGTTAGAAAGCATACAGAATATGCTTTTATTCATTTTCATTCCATTTTGCAAATTACATTTTTTATTAAGATAACTTTGGCTTACCACACTGGACATGAGTACCTGAGTTGCAGGAGCAAGGTCACACCTCTTCAAATGGATGCCACCATACCACACTCACTAGCAGAGCACACCCATCCTCTTCCACCGTAGTCTGTTGGGCTCCCTCTCCCCTTTGCTTCCTCTGGGAGCCTCAGTTCCACGGTTAGATTTCTAGGGTTTAGTTTGGCTTAATTTTGTCTGTTTCTTTATTTTTTTCCCTTTATACACCATGTATGAGATCACCCAGTGTTATACCTAATGTAGTGCCCACTAGTTCAATGCATGTTGCACATGGCAAGATTTCATCTTTTTTTTTTTTAAGTACCCGAGTAGTATTACATTGTGTATATATACCACATCTTAATGAACTCATGTGTCATTGAGTACTTGGGTTGTTTCTGTATTTGACTGGTGAAATAGCCAGTGCCACAGTGCACAGTGTTTTCAGCTGACCCTTCAGAAGGTGTTTTGCCTAGAGTATAATTTTAAAGACTCACTGCATTCGACTTTCAGCTGTTCTTTTTGCCTGACTATAAAAGTAATCTATAAAAGTTTTATAAAGCAGTTTATTTTAAGTCTTACATTTCCAACTTCCAAAAGGCACTCAGCATGTTTTTCTATTTCTTCTCATTTTCTCTGTATATATCTTGAGATTGGCTCTTTGTACTACTTTGAGTTTGCCATTTTATTCAACATTATTGCAAAAGTATTTTTTCTTATCATTAAAAACTCCCATTAATGTTAAATAGCTATCTAATGTTTTCCTGGGTGGGTTTATTTTCACTCGGTCCATAAAAATCGCTTAATCTTTCAAACTATTGATGTGTGTAACTTTTTCAATTTATTAGGCTTAAAAAAGGCATATATTTTAGTTTGCTTTTTAACGAGCAAGTGTTTTTCCACATATCTTATTTGAATTATTATTAGTTATAGCTAGACAAAAATGTCTAGATAGGGTGTCAATTTGGGGTTTTCTAGAGAAAATTCTGTGTTAGGAGGATTGGTAAGCTCTGGTTTTACTTCAGACACTCTTAGTGTCACAAACCTCGCAGGATTCCTGTAACTTCCCCTTCCAAGACTTGGCAAGAACTGAGCAAATTGTTGAGGAACTTGTCTATTCAGGAGAATCCCCCTTTTAGCTTATAGCTGTCAAAATTTTATTCTCTGGCTTCTAGACTCAGAATAGTTAGAGGTGGTAATCAGTTTTTGTTTTTGAAAAACCTTTGTTTGCTCTCAAGATCTGTAGATAATGCTGCATTATATTTTGGTTCTAGGTGATGAGACTGCTGTTTGGCAGGCCCTGACTTTGTTGGAAGAGGGACTGACCCACAGCCCATCCAATGCTCAATTCAAATTGCTGCTTGTTCGAATCTACTGTATGCTTGGGGCATTTGAACCAGTGGTGGATCTGTACTCCAGCCTTGATGCTAAGCATATCCAGCATGATACTATTGGGTTGGTAGTATGTACTCTGAATGATGAATCCCCAGGCATACCAGAGTGGGGCCCTTTTACATGGGATTCTGGCTTTTAAATTTCAGCAGTGAAGTTATTCCTGGTATTTAATGATTTGATTAAATAATCACTTAGTATGATCCCTTGTAAAGCAGAAAGAGTTTTATAGCACCCAGTGTTTTGTGGCAATTTAAAAATTTATTTTATTTTAAATTGTTTTAATTTATACATACAGATCTGGGGTACAGGCCAGAGGAACAGGGGCGGTGAGAAGATTCACGAGAGACATAGTGGGGAGCAGAACAGGCAGATTGATGAGGTACACTGCTGAGGGGAGCAGCGGGCAAGACAGGAGAGATCTGCTGTGCCATGTGGGTCAGCTCCCTGGCTGGGGATCGGACTCATGCTGACGTGGCTTTGGCTAGCTTCCTAGCGCTGTGCCCCATCATGCCATTATTCCACCAGGGAGGGTCCAATTAAAAAAAAATTAAGAAGTGGTATAATTTTTTCCCAGAGGCAACAAATAGATACATTACTTTGCATTATTTTTCTTAGCAGATGTTTTTTGAAGTCTTCACTTATTTTTTTTAAAAAGATTTATTTATTTCTGCACACAAGAACTGGGGTACAGGCCAGATGTATGGGGGTCGGTGAAAGTATTCACCAGAAACAGAGTGGGGAACAGAACAGGACAGATTGACTGAAATATATTACTTGAGGGGAGCAGCAGGTAGGACAGGAGAAATCTGCTGAGCCCCGTGGGTCGCGCCCCTCTGTGCCCCGTGGGTCGCGTCCCTCTGTGCCCCGTGGGTCGCGCCCCTCTGTGCCCCGTGGGTCGCGCCCCTCTGTGCCCCGTGGGTCGCGCCCCTCTGTGCCCCGTGGGTCGTGTCCCTCGCCAGGGATGCATTCTTGCTGCATTGGCTGCACATTAACTCATTGCACCACCAGCGAGGTCCCTGAAGTCTTTGCTTCCTGTGTTTGAGTTTGATAGTGTACTTTTTATTTGTTCACCTCAGAGATCTCTGAATTTGTATTTTGACTTTTGTTTGTGATGAGTCAAGAGTATTGTCTGTGTTTTGTAGAGCTGTTGAAGAAGCAGCATTCTATTCTTGCCCAGTGTGTATTCTGTTAATTATCTAAGTATAAGAAAGCATGGCGCAGAAGCTTAGGTCTGCCATAAAACTGAATTAACTTTACTTTTTAAAAAAATTTGATTCTGTGTGTAGATTTTAGATTTTTCTGTATGCCTAGCTATTTCTCTGCCATAGTAATTTAAAGTATAGTATTTTACAACATCTGTTTTTCTTTTTTTCCCTACCTAGTTATCTTTTGACTCGATACGCTGAATCCTTAGGTCAGTATGCTGCTGCATCCCAGTCCTGTAACTTTGCACTCAGGTTTTTCCACTCCAACCAGAAAGATGTAAGTGCAAAACTAATTTTTTTTTTAAACTATCTTCTTGCTTGTTAAATGCCCATGATGCAGAGAGCATCTTCCCCTGTGTCACAAATGCTGTGTCAGAGTGCTCTGGGATGGCTTGTAAGTGCTCCCAGGCCTAGCTTACTGACCAAAGTTGTAGGTAGAGGTAAAGGTACTTGCAGTTGTTAAAATGAATGTGTTTAATAAAATGCAAAGGTGTATTTAAAAGCTGAGTCCTAACGGAATAATAGCAGGTGTGATGCCTCTTAGAGCTGTGTTTTAATATCTGTGAGAATTTTTGCAAGGTCATCTAACAGACCATAATTGTTTATAGCTTGAGGTGCCATAAAAGATTCGGGGTAGCAGCTGCTGTTACCTTTACATATTTCTGGGGTTTATAACTACCATGTTCCTTGCCAGTAACAAGTGCATTTAGTATTATAAATCTGACCAACCGAAGAACATTTCAAGAAACTTAGGTCAAGTAGCACAGTAAAATAGAACTTAATGTGCCATAATGAAAGGATGGGATTTGCACCATATTTTTCACTGCCATCAGACCTGTTTTCCACTTGTCAGTAAGCAGAAGTTTTTGTGGAAAAGCTGCATGGTCTCTAGTCAGTTGACCAGCTGTGCAGAACCACACAGAAACATACATGGAGAAAAGGCATGTTTTCAGAATGGTCTCTGCCTGCTTGTGTTTTCATGTGCTTCTAAGACTCGTTGCCTGGAATCTGACTTCCCAGTTATCTGCCCATAGTTTTCCATGGTCTTAACAGCTTAAGGAACTTAACAAGGAAATTGCTTTCTTGGCAAAGCATCCATGAGGACCTAAGAAAAAAGTCCTTTTACAGTTACGGCTACTCTGTTACCTAACTCTTCAGGGTTTATTAACTGAGAAGGAGGGTAGAAGTATTTCTGAACATGGACTATAGATCTGTTCTCAGCTTGTGATGATTATGTTCTGATAGGTTTTAGGGTGTGACTTTGAGGACTGGCTTTATGCAAGGGATAGTAAGCTGTATATGGTCTTTGTTTCTCTCTCCCCCCCCTCAGTGATTGGTATTACTGTTCAGACTTCACTTTGTGCCACTGCACCTGTTCAGAAAGAGAGGGGAGTAGGTAGCATTTGAATATATTGCTCAAATTTCTCTGACCTGAGTTGGGTCAGAAGGGCCTTGGGTTACCTAGTATGAGTAGGCAATTGAGTTATAAATTTAAGTTTGCATAGTGTATTCAAGTATCTGCATTTGTGCTTCTCTGAAGTTTTACTGAAAAAAAAATTGAAAGTACACCTCAGACCTCACTCTCTCATTTCATTTCAGTATTTCTAAGGAAGAGGTTAAGGAAATACTTGTTTACTGAAGATCCCATTTAAAGGTTCCCTCCCCACCCCCCCTTCAAATAGTTTGAGGTATGGCAGAGGGTTAAATGTGGGATTAATTCAAGCCTGCTCGCAGGTTCACTCCAGTGTTTAATCACCCAGCATGCTAGAAGAACCATAATCTGCACAATTTGGTCAATAAAGGCACTTCATTTATACGAATACAAACTAAGCATTAATTTTTTTCCAAAAATATTTTATCCAAGGAATTGTTTTGAAAACAAAACATACACGCAAAACCAAACACCCCAAAGTATCTTTGTAGGAAAAGGAGATCCCCATGAACTATTTGAAGAGTTGTCCTGAGGGACTTCTCTTACCTTTGTTGTTTTGCTGATTGTCTTGTGTGGCAGGAGGGACTTGATGTTGAATCCGATGAAACGATAGCTTTTCATTGATGTGGGACTAGTATTCTTTGCTTAAAATTTATTTTCATTTTCACTAAGATAATGATGTTTTATTATTTGCATTAAAGTAAATAATCTTTGGGGGGTTCTGGAGGCAAAGGCAAAACCAGTGTCACAAGTTGAATGCACCTTAAATCTTAATGCCTGACTTGAGCCCCCAAACAGGCAAGTGGACCTGGTGTGGGCTGTTTTCTGTAGGCGGTTCAGGCTGAGATCGAGACTGCAGTATTGGGCTCTGTGTTAAAGCTCCTGAGAGTATTGGAAACTTCTCTCTAGTAATCTAATCTACAGCACTGTGTTTTATCTTACCTTCTTGGTAGTGTTTGGGATACCTTGGTGGCTTTTCTTTAAGGGACTGGTATGTTTCATTTGTCAGCTTATTGTTTGGGACAACACTTCGTAGAAAATTTTAAGTTCTGCACTGCTGGATGGTGCTACAGCACTGGAGGTTTTTTGGGAGAGTTAAACAGGGATTTTCTTTCTGGAAAGGTCATTGTCTGGTGACCCCTTTGTAATTGATTTTTGCAAAGTGACAATTAGAGCTAGATTTCCATATCTTCAAAGATTACTTATGTATTTATACTTAAGAAAATCCCTTTAAAAATCTCTATTTTTAGCTATTCATGAATGTATGATCATTATTTAGGGGCTTTGCTAATTTTACCGTGACCAGGGTTCATTTCAGGAATCCATATGGGATCTAAGTAGCCTCACGGGTGTATGAATGAGCAGAGATAGTAGGACGGCACTGTGTCATGGTCACAAGCCTTGGCGCCTGCGGCTCCCGTGTCGCCGGCACTTCCAGCAGGCGGCCCGTGCTCTGCCCTGTCTGCTGCCGCCCAGGCCTTTCCTGCCTCTGCAGTGACACTCCTGCAGCATTTTAAAGGAGGACTGTCCTAGATACACAGAAGACAGAACGCTGCACTTAACGTTTTCATTTTGCTTAAAGACTGTCTTCCTACTTGTTGCCTGCTCCTTTTTTTTTTTAAGTTCTCCCCTTTTTACTGCTCAGAAATTACAACTGCCTATACACTTGGTAAGGCTGCATTCTTTCCTTTACTCATAGCATATTTTGGAGCTGTAATTAGTAAATTGGTTTGGAATCCCTCAAACCACGTTTTTATCCTGATTAATTGCTGGGCATATTCCTGACCAGCTGTTTTTCTTGAGCCCTCAGTTCCTCTTGCAAAGGCTGATAGTAAACTTAATAATATTTTCTAAGCCAAGAGGCCATCAGATAGATGTGTATGCTGGAGTATCTTGGCCTGTTCTCGCGGGGCTTTGTCAGTGTCCTTTAGTCAGGCTAGAAGGTGCATTTGAGCTTTTTCAGATAGTCCTTCTTTAGACCTGCAGGATCACAAGTAATCTTTTTAATTTTCTTGTGTCCGTCCGTCTTTAATCTCTCCAGATACTGCAGGCAAACAGCTCGCCGAGGTGTCCCATGGGGGTTTAAAAGCCGCAGCGAAAGCAGTTGAATTTGCGCCCGTGGCGCAATCCGCGGCCTGAAATGAACCCTGCGAGGCTGTGTATCGAGGGTATGTTGTTGACTATTGGCCTATTTTCATACTGGGCAAATTATTTGAACAGTTGGGGGAAAAGAGACTGACTTATTTAGAAAGGATCTTTGGGGCAGAAAACAGGTTTGAGCTTAGCATTTCCTTGGCCCAGAAAGGTGCCCTGGTGACTTCTGGTCCTTAGGCTTAGCCCACACTTGTTCTTCCCTGAGATTTTCTTCCATTTGCCAAAACTACTTCAGATTCTTTATCCTGCCTCTGTCCACAGTGTTTCATCTGCATACATGAATTAGTCTAAAATTAAAGCACATGTGGTGATTGTTCCCTTTACTTGTTATGGAATTTTCTAGGAGAGGTCTTAATGTCATTTGGGAGGATAAGAAGCCCTGTTCTTGAAGGTCCTCAGAATGGATCATGGCATGAATTTTTATAGGTCTTCTGTTTGGTGTCTTCCTTCTATCCTGATGTAGTGTGTGCACATGCTGTTTGTGAGACAGTTGCCATAAGTAAAAGCAAGGAACAGCCATAGTTTATGAAGGAGAGTAATTTTTACTTGGGGTGTTGGTGGGGTGGTTGTATTAATTTGGTGTTCTTGAACCATTGTATAGAACATGTTTGTCTTAGGTGGAGAAAAACATGGAGTAATATCCCTTCCTCAATGGCACTAACCAAATTTTTTGACTGCTGGGCATAACTAAACCTCCAGTCTTGTTGAATTGAAAGAAATGACTGCCAAGAGAAATTCTGTGTGGTGGTAGCAGCAGCAGCAGCTGATTATTCTTAATCGTGATATTAGTGAAGAAGGCATTTCACTCTGGTACAGGAAAGAAGAAGAAAAAATTATGTGCTACCTGGTAACAAAGACCTCTTAAGTATTAGATTTAACATTTTAATTTTAGATGTGTGTTTTGTTTTGGCTGCCAAGGTTGCCTTCATTGCCTGACCGTGAAAATATTTATACCAAGGTAATGTTTTTCCTTCCCAGACCTCAGAATATATCATTCAAGCTTACAAATATGGTGCATTTGAGAAGATTCCAGAGTTCATCGCTTTTAGGAACAGACTGAATAATTCTCTTCATTTTGCACAAGTTCGGACAGAACGGATGTTGTTAGACCTTCTACTTGAAGCAAATATGTAAGTATTGCACAGGAGCTCAGAGGGGACTAGGGTATTAGATCAGATGCTGAAAGCCATTAGTGGATTCATGGGAGATAAAAGCAGACTTCAGAAAAAATTGAATAAGAAGAAAATAGCAGAGAACAGGGGAGAATGGGCAGTAAACCTGGACTGAGTTACCACCTCAGCCAGTTCCATACAAGCCAGGTAGGCCATGGCCACTCTCCTGGCTCTCTGTTGTGATTACAAGGTCCTCCTTCCCCTGCAAGCCTGGGATTTCCAGAATTAATGCAGATCTGCTTTGCTTTGTCGGGGCTTTCCTACCCCTGCCTCTTGTGTATAGGCTAGTGTGATTGGTGCTGGGTTCTGTTTCACCTTACGAGCCTTGTTAACCCCTTCATTCTTTGTCTTCCTCTCTAGCAAAACAAAGTCCTGGGTGATAATGTTTTTCATGGTGGTTTTATTCTTTAAATAATGTATAAATGCACTTTCTATATCACAGATCAACTAGCTTAGCAGAAAGTATAAAGTCAATGAATCTTCGGCCAGAGGAAGATGACATTCCATGGGAAGCTTTGCGAGACAACAGAGACCTAAACGTTTTCTTCAGCTGGGATCCAAAAGATAGGTAACAGGAATTTAACCCCAAAAGCTTACTTTTTTTTTTTTTCCTTTCTTTTCTTTTTTGCATGCAGAGCTGGGGAACAGGCCAGAGGTGCAGGGGTAGTGAGAGGTATCACTAAACACAGAGTGGAGAGCAGAACAGGGATCAACGAAGTTCACACTGCTGAGGGGAACAGCGGGCAAGACAGGCAGGAGAGGTCTGTTGCGCCAGGAGAGGTCTGTTGCGCCCTGTGGGTCACTTCTGGGGCCCGAGATTGAGCTCACACTGAAGCAGCTGCAGCTGGCTTGCAGTGCTGCATCCTAACCCCTGTGCCTCCGTAGAGGGCCCAAACATCCTACTTTAAAGAATTAGGATGAATCAAAAAAAAAAAATTTTTTTTTAAATCTAAGAAAAAAAAATATATACACATATGTATTTTTTGAATCTAAAAATATTTTAAAACCTCTTTTGCACACATACACACTCACACAAATTGGTTTTGGCATCAGAAAATGCAGGTAAGCCGAACGAAGAAATCGCACTCCTATTTTGGAATTATTTCCTGATCTTAAAAGCCAGGTCTGTTTTCAAAAACACTGATTGAAAAAGATCTCTGTACCCCCATGTTTATTGCTGCTTTATTTACAATTGGAAAAACATGGAAGCAGCCCAAATGCCCAAAAGTAGATGACTGGATAAAAAAGCTG